GAATTATGTAAGTCACTGATTACATACATTAAATATAAAATTATAATTATATTATAGTTTAAATATGATTCTTTTTTATATTTTATATAAACTATATTTATATTATATTATATTCTATAGTAATTTACTGGTAAAATCAGACATTTGTCATTATCAGGATGAATTTTGTACCACAATATATCATGTCATGATACTATCAGTACACACCTAGTTACAAGCAAACATGTATTGCCATCAATTAAGTCAATGTTTCCACTAGGGATGCTCTGATCCACCTTTTTCACCTCCGATACCGATTCCGATACCTAGGGTTCAGTATTGGCCGATACCAGTGAAGGTTTTTTTTTTTTTTATTTAAATAAATGTAAAATGTATATATCTCTGTGTGTGGAACTGATAATCATTCTTTCACAATCTACTAAATACAGACTACTTCATTATAAAGAAAAATAAACAATAAATATGAAAAAATACATGTATATTCATAATCTATGACAAAAATATATCATAAACTAGGATAGTGGATAATTCAGCAGCAAATCACATTGCTATTTGTATTATAAAATCCATTAATTAAAAACATTCATGAATGTATTTATATATAAGTATATACTATAAAATTAAAATACATTTCTTTTAAATGTATAGCATATTTTTTAATAAGGCAACAACATATGATAGATTCGATAGGACAAAACAAATACAGTGTGGCACGAAGCGCTTACAATAAGCGCATCCGGTGTGCAGAATGATGCGCTTGAAGCAACACGGAGTCACAGCACGTAGCGCTGTGCATTAAAAAGTGCAAAAAACAAAGGGAAGAAAAATTGATGCGTAGTGTATTATATCTGTGCAACAGTTATTGAGCCTTTCTTTTAACAGTTTTAAATTTCAGTTACTGTGCGCGTTAAAAACAATTTATAGTATTTTCTACACCCGTGTTTTGTTCTCACAGACACCCGGTAGCAAGTAACTAAACATTAAACTCCGGCAATAAGATAAAGTCCTTTTTGCAAAATCATAGAC